CCCCCCCCGCACTGATTCTTCCTGCTATTTGTTGTTATTTTGTATTACTGGTGTTTATTACAGAAAGTTTGATTAAATTATGTGCATCTAGTCTTGGGGGAAACAGAATATTCTTCCGTCAGTAGCATGTGGGCTTTTATCAAACTAAGGTGGTCTTAACTGACCAGAAACTTAAAAATACAGTAACTCCTAGATGGTAGGCAGAAGGAAAGCCAAAATGCGTCTTGATCAATGAGGAGCTGGTATGAATCCAGTGTTATGTGATGATATGCTTATTGCAGATGGTGAGTGTTACAGAACCAGATTTTCTACCCAAGGTGCTTTGCCTCTCTTTATTTTTTTTATTGCGTTTTGTGGATGGGAGCTACTGTTCCCTTTTGTCCTTGACTAATTGACCAAGCTATTGCTTTCTTCTTGTTCCCATGTTCCTGAAGGTCAGAAATCTAACTAACTTATCTGAGACATCTGGCAGAAGAAATTACGTAGTAAGCCACCAATTCCAATTATAAAATCAATGGTTACTTAATGAAAAATAAAAGAAATCTTAAAAATAAAAATCATTAAATAATGTATAGATTGATCTGAATTTATGACATTGAATTTCAAGTATTTTTATATCTTAAATTTATCTGTAAATGGAGTACATGGGTTAAACAAGATAAAAACGTTGTTTAGAGGGATCTCTTAATCTTATCCAATGGTACCAGTTGTCCTCCTTCCAGTATCTGAACAAAATTCTCAGGAAGCAGAAATTCTGTTTCTGCTGCCGTTGCAGAAAGGTAGTTGTTAAAAGGCACTGATTTTTGCAGCATCTGTTGTCATTTTCCTATTACATTAATTCAGACCAAATCTCTGGTGGCCTAATAAGTTTAAGACTAACTGTTAGAAGTTCTGCTGTAGTCTCTCTAATTGCAGGGGGAAAAAAAGGCAATATTTTGTCACAAATATTTGCTTTCAGTATGCACTAGAACACCTATAGTTAAGATTATAGCATACTTGTTATTAAAAACAAAGTTTTGCATCCTCTGCATACGAAGAACAGCTTGAAAACTGTTTTGACAGTGTAGTGATCACAAGACATTTCTTACGCAAAAATGGGACTTGTTTGATCAGTAGCACTTTGAGATATTACTTCCAGAGAATGACTGGTTGTGTAAAGAGGAGTCTAATGAGTCAGGGTTCATATGAGATTCATGTTTCCAGGATGATCCTGATGTGATACAGTATCTAATGATTAGATTAAAATGAAAGTTAATTTATTCAGATGTGATGATGATGCGAAGGGTAGTAGGTTCCTGTGTGTAAAGAGACGGAGGAAAAGAAATACTTCACAGTCTATAAAGAAGTGATGGGCTAAGATGGGAGAGTACAAATTCAAGCTGTCTTCCTCCTAATTCAAGTTCCATTTTTAAACTCAACAAACCCAATGTTAAACCTCCACCAACAATAATTCAGTCTTAGGGAAATTAATTTTTACTTCCTCCTCTCTAAAAAGAAGCTAATTAAAAAGTTTCACAAGGATCACTAAAGACAGAGCAGGCTGTAAAACAGAAGAGAGATATGAAAAAGACCAATCCTATCCTCTTAGTATTACTCTTTGTAATTGGGCTTGAATTAAATGTGTGAAATCTGTGTTCCTGGATATCACATCAGTAATAGGTGTTTTAATTGCTAAATTTCTTTCCTAAAGCTAAGAATATATTGCAAATAATCTTGACCCAATGGTCAGAATTCACCCTGTGATGGTGACATGTGAAAGAGGAGCAGAAGGTGCACCTGCTAAATTACTTCAATCAGGTATCTAAATCAACAGTCATTGATTTCCTCTAGGTTTAAATAGATCAGTTGCCCATATCTTCCAGAGTATTTGGACAGATATTTCTTGGGTTTCTCTTCATATATTCCCCGTTAGTTCAGCCTCTGCTCTCAATCCTTTTCTTACATTTGAAGTACCTGGTTAGCCTGGAAATGTATTGGTTTTTAGTTATCACTTTATTATTCTCTTCAAAGGGTTGTTTGCCTCACGTCTCATTTATTCTGTTTTTCTGCTAGTTTATTTTCAGATGCCAGCAGGTATATTGTAATAGCAAGTACACATCTCCATAGCTTGCTTCTCTTTCTGTTTGGTCTGCCTATAAAATTGAGTGACTGAACATCTCAGGCAGGAATTTCTCTCCAGAATATATTTCACTTTAAGGTCACACATTTATATCTCTAAGATCATGTACTAAAATCTTGGCACTGAAGAAGCTAGTGGTTTGCCAAGAAGATGATCAGTAGAAATGTTGCAGTGCTGCCATGGGCACACTAATGGAATGTTGGACAATGAAGCCATGGGTATTTCTATTTTTGATCCAAGTGTAACGTCGCTGCATTGGTGTTAGTTTTCTCAGTGTATATATCACTGGAGTTTCTATCTATAAGTATGCTGCCCCAAGTCCTTCTTGTGAGGTAGGATTTGATAGTATTTCCTTACTGTCATTGTAATATTTTACTTTGGATTAAAGGGTGATACAGTCTTCACATTTTGGGAAACCCTGTTGAGAACACTATTCAAGACTAATCATTGCTCCCCTTTGCCTTTTCCCTAGACTGTAGTTTTCATAGACTCATGGCAAATTTCTGCTAATGTAAATAAAAATCTTGACAGGGAGTTTAGCATTTCTTATGCTACTTAACAGGGTTGATGCCCTTAGCTGCTTTCCTCTTTTATACTGCTTGCATCTGACCTAATGGCCTCTTCTTGTCATTAGCTTGCTCCAAAGTGATGTACATTTTGCTGTGATTTGGTAAAAGCTGGCATACACTGCCAACTCACAGCTTGCGAGTTGGGATTTAAAGAGCTTTGATGGGTTCCTTTCTGAGTCTGCCATGCACTAGACTGTCATTCACAATGACATCATCTTCCGTAGGTCCTTTAAATATTTAATACTTTTTTTTTTGAGTGTAGACAATATACCAGAAACACTAAATTCACTGCAAGCCCTGTCTTCCCAAAGGACCATTAAAAAAAGATTGCTTTTCTCCACTGACTGACCTGCCAGTATTTGGATTGAGCATTTAGTACCTTATGTGAACTTGTTACAAAGGATCCGATCACAGGTAGATAGGCTTTCCTGAAATACTTGCTCTTTTGGATCTTAATTCTCACAGTACACAGATGATATTTTTTTTTCACTGAAACCACTCAGCTAAACCACTCAACAATGCCTCCATTTTTATTAAAATGAGACTGAAATGTGTCATACATAGAAGACGGTTCTCCACTAAAGATTATATGGTTAATTACGGTAATGGTGGTTCACTGTTGTCATTACATTTGTAAGTAGAATTGGTTTTCCAATGATAGATATTCCAGGCCTTTAAACACAAAGGGAAGTCTTTTCTTAATTTCTTCTGTTGCAAGAGTCACCCCTAGAAGGACTTCTGTTAATTTTAATGATTTCTAAGGTGTTAGTCCCACTGTTGGTTTTATTGCTGCTTAAAAATCTAGAAAAACATTCTGCTCTTCTTGTACTCTCCTTGTCCCACTCTCCGATGTGGGTGCCCCACTTAATCTGCTAGCGTGACTCATCTAGATGATGCTGGCATCACGATGCAGACTAGTCTTTTCCTGTATTGTAAAGCAAAGACGCTACTTCCTTGTGCTTGGTGTCGTTATCAAATAGTCCAAGTTCTGCACAGTTTCAGGTAATTACAAATGCCAGTTGCCAAGGAGCTTAACCGTTCAAGGGGTAAAGAATTGTAGGGCTGTGCAACTGTCCGTGCTGAAACTGAAAGTGGTTGAGGTCATGCCATATTAAAGGGAGACAGAAAACCAGTGTGTGTAGGACTTTCAGTTGAAGAACACCTCTGAGAACAGCAGCTTGTCAGCAATGACACAGCATTATTTCTAGCTATAGTACAGAAAGAGAAAAGAGACACCTTCAATGGTTAGGCTCTTTGGCATGAGAAAACAGCAAGGAATGTGCAATGAAGTCCTTTAACTGGATAAATTACACTTTTCCAGTGATGATTTTGCAGTTGTTCTTTCTTGGCTTTGCCTTTACCTTTCATGGAAATTATTCTTTTTTTTTTTCTTTCTTTCTTTCTTTCTTTCTTTCTTTCTTTCTTGTTTCATCAGCCTCGCTCTTTCCATTTGCAATTAATGGTTTGGCCTGTCTTTTCTGGCTTCTCCTTCTTTATTTATAGAAAGGTATATTAGCTCAGTCACTCTTGTCATAAACATCCTCACACTGTGGAAAGAGATAAGTATAAGGTACGTCTAATGGTACTGAAAAAATAAAAAACATAGAATTTTGTACAGTTTGCTGTGAGAACATTAGGGCACAAGTCTTCTTTGATCTACGTTATACTGTATTGATTTAACTTTTAGTCCACTAATTAATATTATGACTGTTTGGCCTTTATTACAGCCTTTGAAAGCAAGTCTAATATTTTGGCTAAAATTTCTTTACTTGTAGTGAAGGCTTTATTTCTTAAGGAGTATTCCAGAATAAGAGCGTCCACAGGAGACTGACACTGTTATAATCAAGAGTGTCATTAATTCTGGTACAATTTGTGCTGGTAATAACTCTATAAATACAAGTTCTTAGATAATTTTTTTTTTTAAGATAGCCATTATTTTAAGGTACTGGAAAGGGGATTTTTTTTTTCCAAATGCCTCTCTATGAAATATTACTGAGGGCTTAAACATAACAACCCACCCTGTAAAAGGTGCTGCTGATACAGTGCAGTAACTGCAGCTTAGCAGCCATTAATGATAACGTGTAGGTTAAAAGACTTTTCTTTTGCAGTGATTAAAACTCTGAGATTGTCTACGCAGACATACCCAACAAAAATTAGGATGGCTTAGCTAAAGTCATAAAGTTAATGTGCATTTTAAAGCCTCCCAACAAGGGCATGCTCGGGTGAACTGAACCCCCTTCATTTCTGTATGTTAGTGCCTAAAGAGAATTTTATGTCATTTAATGTTACAGCTTCCATTGCTTAGCTCCCATAGTGGATGTGAGACTCTTCATGATTGGTGAAACTGTCCAGTAGGAGACGCCAGCGGGTCAAAGACATGCTCCTGCCCTGGAAGGAGAGTGGCTTAGATGAGAAGATTTTTGCAGCCTTAGTCATTTCTACTGTCTGTGATTTTGTACAAAACTGGCAGGAAGTTTTTTGAATCCAATCAAAAAGTTGGCCATATGGACAGCTTAGAACTCAACACTTACTGCAGTGCTACCATGATAATAACAGAAAGGACTGAAAAAAATAAAAAGGGCAAACAAAGAAGCTGAAAATAAAAGAAAATTAACCATTACACCATTCTTTGAATAAATTGTTCTTTAAATCATCATTTTAATGCAGTTTCACAGCCTGAGTTGGTATCCACCAAACGGAATCTGAGACAGAGTAAGCTTTTTAATGGAGTATGTGTGATAAACACGGCCCAAGTTGCATTTTTACGTAAAAGATAAATAATGTTTGAGATATGCTTTGCCTAAGGTACTTAGCACATGCTTGCTCAAAATTTGACTTTCATGGTTGTCATTTGAATTTGTCAAGGAAAGCTGTGAATAGTTACATTTACATTAAAAAAGTCATTTATCTCCCATATTTATGTGAAGCAGGTTAAACCTTTTGCCATCAGCAGTGTTGCTTAGCCTTGTATGTTGTATCCCTGCTCCATATTATTCTGAACTTTCATTTTACACTGAGGGTTATTAATCTATTTTGGCATTGTCGTGTGGAATACAATACTATTTTTCTCTGAAAGCTTATGTAATTGGGCCTACTTACAGCAAATAATTCATTAATTTTAGGTTAAGTCCCTAACTAGCATATTTTACGGCACATTCTACCTTTTTAAACCAGTAACAAAAGCAATATAAAATATTTTGTATTTTTAAGCACAAAAAATGCATACCTTCTCTGAAATTAGCAACTATGTAATGAACAATATGTTTGCAGTATTTTAATGTACAGCATATTTACTTAAGTAATTCAAAACAAATAAAAAGGTTTTTTATTTGTTTACTTTACTTCGAAAATATTTTCACATTGTCTTTTGAATATACAAAGCATACGTGTATCTTATGCATTGCATGCAGATTTCATAGTCATGAAAACAAACCTGATTTTTATATTAGGATAGTGTAATTGTCCACAATTGTTCTTGGCACAGTTTTCTACTTACATGACTTCTAACATACTTAAGGTGGTGACTTCAAGCGTCAGGACACTGTATTAAGCAGAAGATGAGGAGAGGTTGTGCCTTATTTCTGACTTCCAGCAGCCTTTGGTTTTCTTAGTTGTTTTTTTTTTTTTCCTTCCTCTTGTTCTTTTTCGTGTCAGCTTTCAAGATACTACACGATTTATATTTACATTTACAGTCAGTTCACTTAACTATTTTTTTGTCTGTAATTCTTGTAATTTTTTTTAAACCTGTAAATATGCATCTTTCTATGATTTGCCAGCTACATATAAAACATGCAGGCTGCTATAAAAAATACTTTTATTTGATTTGCATTTTTATCACCATTCAAATTAAAAGGGTACAGTTCCTATATTCAGTCCTGTTGTACTGGATTCAGTTCAACAATATGGGCTAACGGTGCAAAAAAGTTCTGCTGAGGGAAGGGATCTGCATATAAATTGATCAAGACATATGGTTAAAGTGTCTTATAAAGGTTCAAAATTTCTGTACCATTCTGGCAGTCTGTCTCCATAGTAAGGGTTGGTGAGGTATTTGACTAGCATTTATTTGACAGAAGATAGCAGCAAAATGTACAGTATCTCCTCTGTTATTT